TGATAAGATACATTGTGGTGCAAAATGTCTTGTCCACCCCACCAAAAATATCCAGGAGATTTCGGCTGTTCCCTTTTTTAGACAATCATGATAAACTTAAGTACAATTCTTTCTCAAGACAGTATGAAAGACAATTTACAGTTTATGCGTCGGTGATTAAGTGGTAGAATGCACGCCATCCACAGCTGTAGTCCGGGTTTGATTCTTGACTTATTTGATTTTACACTTTGTTTATTTACCAGTCGACAGTAAGCACAAAGGGAGGAAAAGGCTGAATGTGAGGTGAATGACCCTATCCGTAAAAAAGGCACCACCAACACTGAAAATTCGAAAGTCATGAAAAATATTAGGAAAGCAACAAATCAAATTTTTTCGGTCAATTCATTTTTGAAGATAAATATTTGACTGCATGATGCACGAAATATTCATGCTTTACGTGTAATTTTATTCTGCTTTCACTTATAACACAAACTAATATAACCTTATTTGTCAGTCGTTTAAAAATATAGGAAATTTCTTTGAACATAACAGAAAAACCTAAGTTCATTATACGTTATATTTTTCAGAAATTTCTATTTATTTATTCAGTTTCAGTCAATTTTCACACAAATATTGATTTAAGTGGTTTTTAATTCGTGAAATATTGAGGAAAACTTGAAAAATTTACTTTATATGATGTCTGACATTCGGTCAGCTGACTGGAATGGAAAAGTTTGTAAGCAGTGTATGCTGGAATAACTGTTCGATCAAATCAGTTCCGTATAGATTATTCTTAAAAAACATGAAGCACTAATTCATGTTTTATTTTAAGTAATCGCTGATAAAATTTCCATGAAGCGTATCGCCACTTCATGGCGGCACAGCAGATAGGACACTCGCCGACCACGCACATGGTCTGATGTTCAATCCCCGGCAGATGCACACCTAATATCAGTGGTCGGCCTGCTAAATTTGGGCTACCGGTATCACATGCTGAAAATTTCCTACTTGTATCAAAAATATTGTGTGGAGTCAAGCTGTAATAAAATTAAGAGAAAAAAATTTATTTATAGTTCAAGCGATTTCAGGGGGCGATGTTTAACTTTTTTATGACTTGTAATATGCTAATTCATTCTAATATCTCTTGAGATATTGGAAGTGTGGTTATTTCCAAGGTAGATTTCTTCGTGAACTGATATCAGTTATAGAACTAGCGAAATTAATAAGTGTTGGACAGTTATTCCATTCAAATATGGGACTCTATTTATTGGATTATTAATATATAGTTGGTGATATTTGTTTAAAAAGATAAAACCATTTAGCAGTGATACTTTTTCGTACATTTGATAAGAGTATTTATGTTATAAATCTAGTATTTGATACGCCTTTTAGAGAGAAAGAGGATCAAAGCAAGTATCGATTTGGATCACAGATCGATATTAGTGAGAAAATCATTGAAAACCAGGGAGTATTAGACAAACGTAACTAACTGCAGGACGAAGTTGTCTAGAGTTCTTATGAAAATTCGTGATTAGTGAGTTCCACCAGGTTGGGTATGAAGACAAATACTAGCGATGACACTGACTGGTGGGGGCTGAATGTCGTGAATTGGTAGAAGTTAGAAATCATAGATCTGTCACAGTGCCTGAATATTTTATGGGCTTGCCTTCTAACTTGAAAGTCTTGGATTCGATGCATAGTAAGGTGATGAGTCCAGTACTCCCTAGTGTTAGTAGCAACTTTTAAAATGCGTACAGTTAGGTAAACTTGAAGGCTTTCTAGATCATTGAAAAGTAAAAAAATTAAAGCATTTCACTGATTGATTGCACAGATGTCAGTTTGAAAGGACAGATTTTTTTGCAAGAGGATAAAAACAATAGTTTAGCTACAGTTTAAATAGTCCAGAGTATCTCTTAGGTATATAACTACATTCCATGTTGGTTACACTGATATATTCGCTAAGTTTCTGTAGCTATACTGCTTCCTAAAGGTCTGTCCACCTCTTTTTCTCACCAAAATGTGTGTTTCAAAAAATACATAGTCTGGTTCAACTGAACAGATTCTCAATAACTTACACAATTAGACCCTAAAAAACACACATCACTCAAGTATAGACAAATAACTTGCGACTAAAACAAGTCCATGAAAAGTATGATAATTAATCAAAATACTAGACAATGAACAGCCTTTTGTTCTCTTCTTTTCATCCTTTACGTTGTAAACTTAACACACGTCGATATCAAAAAACTGAAATGAGGCATCAGACAATGTCACTGATCTGTAAACTCTACAAAATGAACAGAAAGCAACCTAATGATACTTCATTGAAAAACCAGTCACATATATATACACACATATATACTCTGTGAGATCAGTTTCAGTATGAATTTGTAGAGAGACATAAATAAGTCAGAAATGTTTACTCGTTACTTCTATCTTGTGTTGCCAATTCTCCTTACATTTGAAATTAATCTGAGTAAGTTTAAAGCATATTATAATAGTTGATTATCACAAATCTAGTTTAATTTTAAATTTCGTATATTTTTTATACTTCATTAGATTTTTAACTCTGCATATTTTGGTGATTCAAGCTGTTTGTTTCGATTTAAGAGGAGTAATTCGAATACTGTAATATGATAATTTTAAACAACCAACGAAAGCAGTATCCACCACTTATCTCTTTTGATGTAAGCAATGCAGCTGGAAATCAGGTTTAAGATTATGTAAATCCATGAAATACCACAGATATTATTTATTAAGCTGATTCAGACATATCACACTGAGAAATATGGTTTCTTATCAAATGTGTGTCAGTGGATGACACTTAGTATACCTTTCTAATCCTTAAAATGTTGATCGAAATCGATCAGTGATGCACACATTGTGATACTTAGGTTGAACTGTTCAGTGGGAATGTGTTGTGATTTTGTGTTTTTTAACACTCACCGGTAAGGTATGTCAGTAAACTGGATGGGAAATTATGCTCTTTAGTTAAATCCTTGTCACCGGTACTTTTCTGGTAGATCTTCTGTAATAGGTAGGCGGCCAGGGTAGAAGTCACACTGTACTAGTTAGTCGTATAAGTTTTTTAAACAGTTGGTTTGTAAGGATTAGATTTGTTTTTACGAGTTGATCACGAACTGCCGATGAATCCCAAACTAGGATGAAACAGCTGTCCAGTACTCCTTGGTTTTCAAAGGTTCTCTAACTGATATCAATCCGTGATCAACTGGTATAAGTATTTTCCAGAATTTTCTCAGTATTTTGGAGGAGAGCAAAGAAATATTTTTCTGAGATATGCTTGAGATATAAGACATTAGTAGTTTTTATTATAAAACAGCAGTTTTCTTTGTATAGATATGTTAACAATAAATAATGCATAATATACCGTAAGAACAAAGTTAGACAATGCAGTCAGCTCGACTACAGTTGTTTTTTTCACTGGCAAACTACGTTTAACTTTCTACTCACATTATGAGTCAGAATAACCTGTAGACTGTTGTAACGGTAGAAGACAAGAGACTTAACAACAGCATTTTTATTCAGAATTTGATATCTATACACAGGCAGAATCATGTACACCTAATCTGAAAATCGTCATTTGCACAGATCTTCCTTTTTTAGCTACCTCTACCCTTCGTAGTGTGTTTTTTGTCTTCTTTTCATGTCTGCTATATATTGCCGCAACACTGGTTCATTTGCTTACTTTGACGTCAAATCTGTCTCTACGCAATTTGATATTTTTATGTCGATGGACGTCTGTGTCTATACTACTGATACATCTTGTCAGTAGCACAAGTCACAGTCATGCGACAATTTTAATTTCCTTCAAATCATTCTCAGTCGTCAGGTAGCAATAATTTAGTTTTCTTTCATACCTTTTTGATTTATATAGATTAGGAACGTTGGAGATAAGCATTATTTAAGTTGTATTGCGTTGACTGATCATTCAGACTTACTCGGCAATGAAATCGTAATTAGAACTTTTGCATGTTTCTGACATTTAATCGTCTTTTCAGTAATAGAAAGTTTCATTTCTATAATGCTATAGTTATGTTGTGCATCGGTGGCATAGCGGTTAGGACGTTCGCCGACCATTCACAGGGTCCGGGGTTCGATCCCGGGCCGACGCACTCCTTTACCTCGCTAAGCCAAAAATAATGCTGGTGAAGAGGAAAGGTTGGGCATGAGGCTAGCAACCCCATCGTGTAAAATAATCACCGCTACAGAAACTTCAAGCCACTAGCTTGAGGCCCTATGTTCCACTGGGAAAGTGAAGGAAAAAAAATAGTCATGTTGGAAAACTACTGTCTAGTACTGTCGAAATTTCCCAAAAAGCTAATCTCAAAATTTCAACTCAGTAAACCATTACCATTTGTTAACCAGGAAAAAAACCTGAGGTCCTTGTATATAATAATAAACTGGGTTGTATATTTAAACTGGTTGAATTGTAAATATTGTGAAATAACTGTTAACTGTAAGCTCATTTCAATGGTTCTTTACCTGACGATACATAATGAGGAATGATACTTTTCCACAGAATCGGTCAACACATTTTGGGAGAAACCATCATAATCCGCCATAAAACCTTTTGTTAATCGTACGGAACTTCTCAGTGGTATTAAAGCTGTAGTTATTGATCATATAAGTGATGTAGTCTTGCATGATTCCGTTGAAAGTCAGTTAACTAATGAAAAAAATTCCTTCACCATATATATATTCGTTTATTTTCTCTATATACATTAATATAACATTTTTTTGGTTCATATATTCCTCTTCAAGTTACAACGCAAGTATATAGAGAAGATGATTATACTGTCCAAGTTTATGGAGAGAATCTGGTCTTTTTATTTGACGAGTCAATAAACCAACTTAGACCAACTCACCTGCAACTGAATGCTTCTTTTGGCTTCAATGATACACTACCATTTTCCAGTAATTTTTTTTATGCACCATTGGTGTTTTGTCAACCATTTGATATACAAATTACCCTGTTACAAAATACAATAATTCAAAAGGTAATGAAAACACGTACATACAACTTTCAACTGACTGGTAAGTGAATTATATAGTTGCACTGTATTGCATCACATGAAGAAAATATTTGTATTTTTGTTCACAGATCACGTTTATAATATTAGTGAACGTCATTAAATTTAGGTGTTGAACGAAAGCTAAAACTCCCCATAGCATAAAAGTGCTAATAGGTTTTCAAAGCAAACCACTACCCAACCAACTTCACTAGTTAGTATAAGAAACAAAAATGTAGTGCTTTCACTTTGACTAATGGATTAGCGTACTATGTATGAAACGTGTTTTATTGGCCATCAGAGAATTATTTCACCCATTAGATGCTGCAGTGCCACATGAATTATTGAAATCATCACAAAATCCACAGTAGAAGCTGAAAGATCCTCTGGCTAAGGAGAATAAATTAAATGAAATGTACTAAATTCCCTGTAAAGACTGTGTACAACTCCATATTAGCAAGTCCAGTTTCGCGTTGCTTAATGTACTCATTTACATCAGTTGGCAGTTAGACCAAACAGTGTTTCGCCATCAGCCTCAATCCGAGTAGAATTAAATTCAAAATGTGAAATTTATCAGTGAAGAAATACTTGTCCTACTAATGTGATCAATAACTACAGAAAATCATCTAAAATATTGTTTTTGGGAGTTTGTGTGGTTTTCCTACACATATAGTATACACAGGTGGCTATTCATTTAAGTGTACATTTGACGGATATCAATATTTATTTTAAGAAAACCTCTCAAAAAGAATTATTATAATAAGCATGGTAATAATACATGTATATATCTGGGAATATTTTAAAGTGATTTGCACTTCATCTTTTCTCAAAATGTCAGGAATTATTCAAAAGGGCATTCTGTTTCACACATGCTAATATTTTTCAATAGGATATATATTCACCACTGAGGAAATTCATGTTCTTTCCAAAGTTTGGAGGTTCATTATTCCTTTTTGAAGTCAAAACCTTTAGCACTAATATCAAAAGTCAATAATAATCCATGTGTTAAATTTTTCTATTATTTTTTTGATCATAGCTTGATTCCACACAGTATTTGGATACAAGTGTGGAATTTTCAGCATGTGATATCGGTAGCCCAAATTTTGCAGGCCGAGTAGCGATATCAGGTGTACGTTGGCAGGGGATCGAATCCCGGACCATGTGCATGGTCGGCAAGAGTCCTAACCGCTGTGCTACCGACGTACATGTGAGAACATCATTGTTCACTGGGAAATAGGTTCATCCATCTTATGTCTTACAAATACAGTGAAACTCACCTTGATTTCAGTGTTAATTAACGTCAACCATATATATATATATAATATATCAGACCATCTGTAAAATATTTTGTTAGTTTGGTCAAGTATTTCATATGCTCAATTTCATGAGCTATCAGTTACTTTTATTTCAAAAGAGGTGTGAGAATACTTGCCAAACTCTTGTATATTTAAATAATCGCACACGATATTTTTTCGCTTAGAGATACAATATTACATAAAGTACAACCTTTATTTGAATCATTTTATTCATTCTAATTTAACTTTTATTAGAAGGTAGCTTGGAAAAGAGTTTAGTACCACGAGTAATACTGGATAATGCAACTGGTGAAGTGCATTTCTACTGTGATTTTATAACAAATTCTGGAAGGAATTGCAATATTTCCGTAATCAAAGCGTACGGAAATGATGCAGGTTATTGTACAAACAAACTGGTGAATAATCAATCTACACTTGGACATTTAAAACCAAATACGACATATAATCTTCAATGCTTTGATGAGTTTGGCTATACAAAAGTCAATTCTATATCATATGAAACTGGTATGTAATGTGATTTTATTGTTATCTTTTGCATCTTTTCGTAATATCGCGAATTGACAGAAGTTATGAGCCTTTAGTGATTGACGGTATTGACGTTCGCGAGTTGTACGGATTATACTAACGCAAGATCTTATACCAACAACCACTATAGTGTTCGTTCTTCGAGTACCAAATGGTAAAGCAAAAGACCAGATTTTGTCGTCCAAATACGATATATATTTTGGGACCAAATCGCGGGTAGGAATGAATGCTTAGCTAGCTAGTAATCGTGCACGCACGTGACACGACGAAGCACCAAATGGCGGGGATGCTTGACCGTAAGCCTTCAGCTAAACAAGTCGACTTAAACAGTGATGGTCAGCATCCAATGTTGAGTGATGATTGCTGTGGTTAATAATTTTGGGGAATTATTTACCGCTACAGCTCACTCCCCCCCTAGTGGGGTTGTGAGGACCCTAAGACATGACCAGCCGGAAGTAAAAAAATCTGGATGGTTCCCTGATGGGTGAAAAAAATCTTCCGAGCGGCTTGATGGAGAGCCTGCTGGTCTGTCTGCCTATGCTAACAGGGTGTCTGTACATAGCTTCCTCGATGTTTGTTCGTTGGATCCGGTGCTTCGTTTGTTTCCTGTCCAGTGCCCGTTGCACCTGGAAAAGAAAACAAGAATGCTGAGAACCTTGTCAAGAAAAATGTACCAAATAAGCGTTTTTTTTACCAAAAAAATATGACATGCATCTACTATACAGTAAAATAATGTTAAGTTCAAAATATCGGGAAAAAAAAAATATACATCTTATATAATTTTATGTACGGTTATAGGAAAAATATCATTTACTTGTGTTAAATGACGCAACATAAAAAAAATTGATGTGTCACTCAGTTATGTGAGATAGGTGTGAAGATATTCTGGGAATCTAACGTGACGTCCAGAACGCGTTTTCTTAGAGTGATCGACCGAAGTAGCCAGTGGGCGAATGCCCTGACAGTCAATAGTGTGACTCAGAAAATCGAGTGAGTCAACGCCTATCTGACACTTCTGTATATTGATGGTAACACCATGTTGGCGTAACCTTTCAAATGCCAAGTCCAAGTGTCTAAGGTGAGTTTCCTTATCTGGACTGGCAATGAAGCAGTCGGCTAAGTATGCGTATACAAAGTCGAGACCGCGAAATACTTCGTTGATGAAGCGTTGGAATGTTTGGGCCGCATTCCGGAGGCCGAATGGCATACGTAGAAATTCGAAGAGTCCGAAAGGCGTAATGATAGCCGTTTTCGGGATATCTTCCGTTGCCATCGGGATTTGGTTATATGCTTTAACCAAGTCGATTTTGGAGAATATAGATGCTCCAGATAACGTTGCCGTCAAGTCGTGTATGTGAGGCAATGGGTAGCAATCGGGGGTAGTTTTGGCGTTCACTCGCCGGTAATCACCAGTGGGTCGCCAATCGTTGCTATCCTTTTTCGGTACCATATGCAACGGGGATGCCCATGGACTATTCGATGGTCGAATGATGCCAAGGGTGAGCATATGATCGAATTCGTTTCTGGCAATTCTCAGTTTATCAGGGGCCAGTCGTCGTGCTTTAGATGTCACGGGCTGTCCTGAGGTTATGATGTGGTGCATAACATTGCTGGTTATACACGGGAGGTCGTTAGATGGGCAATTCAGTTCCGGATATTTATCAACAATCGGTTGAAAAGTTGGATCGAGGATTGCTTTCATCTTAACGATTGACAAGCTTGGGCCTACGTAAGTTATGCCTTTGATAGACAAACTAGTAGTGTTGTCAATTAATCGTTTACGGCGGACGTCTACGAGCAAATCATGATGATTAAGTAGGTCCGTGCCGATGATGGGCATTGTGACGTCAGCGATCAGAAAAATCCACCGAATAGGTTTGCGTAAACCTACGTTCAGATAGACGTATTTCCGACCATAGGTTGCAATTGGTTTTCCATTTGCAGCCTGTAGGTTGAGGTTAGGATCCTTCTGTCGATCTGCTGCTGTAGCAGGAAGGACGCTGACTTCGGCGCCTGTGTCGACTAGATATCTAGTCTGGCTAATTACATCATGGATGTAAAGTAAGCGGCTAGTGCCACCGGCGACGGTTGCCGCTAACGCGTGCCGGCGGGATAGTTTCCCACAGACTTGGAGGCTTTGCCGAAATCACAAGGTTTTCGACAACATTTCGCTTCCTTGCCATAGGTGTTGTGATACCAACACCAGTCAGGATTTTTGAGAGAGCGTGTGCTGGATTTAGATCGTCCACGTGCACTTTGCCGTTGAGGGGATTTAGAACGACGATAGGAGGAATTGCTAGGCTTGTTTGACCTAAGCATCTGCTGGACGGAGTTGCATAACTCTATCATTGCAGAATCCTTTCTCGAAGTCTGTTCGGTAACAGAGTATACTTCAGTAACCGGCCGTTTCGTTATCTCTAGAATTCTATCTGCAGAGACAGCTAAATCATCTATGAGAACACCCTGAAGTGTCACAAGTACAGTCTGAACTGACTGTGGCAGTTTGGATAAAAATAATTCTCTGAACAGTCCTTCATCGAACTGACTTTGGCCAATGATCTCTTTCATTCTTGCCAGCATGCTCACGGCTGACTGATCTCCTAACTCGATGTTACGAAATAACTCATCCAGACGTTGTCGATCTGTGAGAACGTTTCTCTTGAGTATGGATGCTTTTAGCAACTCGTACGAGTTACTTACCGACATCTGCAGAGTTACGCACCTGCTGAATTCCCGCGGTAGGGCGTGAATAACTGCAAGGAACTGTGAACGTTGATCAGTTATGCCATGTTCACAAAAATCAGACTCAGCAATCTGAAACCACGTTTCAGCATTATCTGGCCAAAATGGTACTAGCTGAATTGTTTTGGCGGTTGAGCGAATCTGAATAACCTTGGGGCTAGGATCACTCATGATGAAAAGTATGCCGATAAGAATATAGTACAAGAATAAACACAAAAAGGAACGAACTCACCGGGTTTATCTGCGTGTGAATTGAAGATGAAGTTCGAGGTTGGGCTCACCAGTTTAAGGGAGCTGTAGGTATTGATGTTCGCGAGTTGTACGGATTATACTAACGCAAGATCTTATACCAACAACCACTATAGTGTTCGTTCTTCGAGTACCAAATGGTAAAGCAAAAGACCAGATTTTGTCGTCCAAATACGATATATATTTTGGGACCAAATCGCGGGTAGGAATGAATGCTTAGCTAGCTAGTAATCGTGCACGCACGTGACACGACGAAGCACCAAATGGCGGGGATGCTTGACCGTAAGCCTTCAGCTAAACAAGTCGACTTAAACAGTGATGGTCAGCATCCAATGTTGAGTGATGATTGCTGTGGTTAATAATTTTGGGGAATTATTTACCGCTACAAGCCATTGAATGCCATCATAATGGCTAAATTGTCAACGGGTTCACCTTGTAACATGAATGTTATGAATTCGATTCTTGGTGGATTGATAGATGAGTACTGGTGAAGGGTCCTGAACCAGGACAAAACAGCCGTCCAGAATTCCCTGGTTTTCTGTGGTTCTTTAACTGATGACCACCTATCGTCCATTTTGAAGGCAATCAGTTCCGTACAGGCGAACACTTGGAAATCTTATTAATTGATTATTTGAAGCTTATTGGTTTAACTGTTTACTTAAGAAATAGTACTCTATGCTCTATCAGTTGATTGGTCGCATACTATTATGCTTACCTTTTAGAAAACGTATCTCTTGTTACATCTAGACTGACAAATTTTTAAAATACAGAATTTTTCTGGTTGTCTTCCAATTATCAGTGTGTTGCATACACTGTATCTTCAACAGAATTTATTCTACTGAACGTATCTTTTACATCCACAGTCCAGTTTCACGAGTCTGTGTATGTCGTTCATAATTTGTCTAGATATGAAGTCGAAAGTATTACAGAAGACTGTTTCATAAGGGACAGAAAGTAGTTCGAAGCGAATTTCGCACATGCATTTAAGTCTAAATGAATGCAGGAGTTACTTATCAGTGAGTTCTTGATTCGAATTACACTCCACCTATCTCAGCTTGGGCAACTCAGTGGTAGTGTAAAGAAGAAATGACAGTATTTTACGTAGGTAAATTTGGTATACCATATTTTCCAACTGCCATTTGCACATCATTTACCACATGCTGAACGAAATGGTCGAATATCGTCACATTCGATAGCTTCTTGGATTCTGCATCATATGGCAACATTCTTCTCATGGTTCTCTTCTTTGATTGCTCTTTTCAGTGTGCAAAACATATTGTTACTTTTCTGAATTCGTTTCTGATATACTACTTATGTTGGATTATAAGTAGCACTCACCACACTCTCCCCTCATTATAAAGTCTCTCCTGTAACCGCCTTGATCACCGCACAGACGTTTCATCCTGCTGTTCTTCAGGTTCCTCGTCTTGACATTCTTGTCTCCATCTTTGTAGCAGACTGCTGTTTACTGTTTTCTCTTTATCCTCTTTTTATTGTGTACCCTGGACCGCGTCTCGATATGACCACATATGGTCCCTGCCAATTCGGCAGAAGCTTTCTTGATCCTGGTCCACTTCCAGTAGTATACTTTCGTTCTCTGCATTTCACCTGGTCGCCTACTTCAAACAGCTTCCAAGCTTTGATTTGTTTCTTGCCAGAATTTTCGATGTCTATCTTTCGCTTCTCTTGTATATTCTGAATAGCTTGTTTCCGTTCACTTGTCCATTTCTTACTGTTCCATTTTTGTTGTTTTGGCCAAGTCTTATGGTGCACCGGTAAGCGTGGTTTCCTCCCATACATCAGCTGGAAAGGCGATTTTTCTGTTGTCCCTCGTATTTTGGCACGATGTGCCAGTAATACCAACGGTAAGTCAGTTTCCCAGTTGCCTCTTTTCGCAGCTAGCCATTCCATGAGTGTACGATTATTCCTTTCGGTCAGGCCGTTTGTCTGCGGATGATACGGAGTCGCTCTAATTCTCTTAATACCCAGTGCCTCTGGACGAGTCTTGAACTCCTCACTTTCAAAACAGGGGCCTTGATCTGTCAATATCATTTTTGGTACACCATGATCCGCCACAATATGTCGAATAACCGCCTCGGTTACGGTCTATACACACACAATAAGTGTAGCACATAGCCTGGTGTATGTAAACTTAAATCAGCCAAGTGAGTTCTAGATGAGTGTTTCTGTGAGGTAATTTCTTCTCTAGTCAACTGATCAAATACACTGATGCTTGGAAGTATTTCATCACAGCATATGATACAGCTTCCTCCATTAATTTAAATATTTCGCAGTTGCATGTAGTCAGTTCCGTTGATAAACTTGAATGTCGCAATGAGAACAGCTCTTGCCACGTAAGTTGAACTCACTTTATTTCATGGAGTTTCATCAGCCCCATACAATATAAATAATAAGATACTCAGGTAACCAGTATGATGTGATTTCTAACATACTTAAATACATGATCAACATATTCATAAATAAGAAGTTTAGACGTCTACATGAAATGGTAGAATAATATTGTCAAGTTTAAAGTCAACATCAGATATACAACTAAGTGGTTGCGTAACTATGGAAGGAAGTCCCACAACTACATATGCGATCGAAATCAAAATGAAGTCAATGACAAAATATTAGTTAATGCGAAAATCGATGGGCATAAAAATCAAGTTAGGTCGTAAAAACAAAATTAAATTTTAAAGAGGTGAAATTAAATGTAATAAACAGTTAGCAGTCTCTAACTGAACTCATAATTCAAGCCCCATCATTTGAATGGTATATATATATATACTGCACATCCCCATTGAAAAAACATTATCACTTATATGTATGCAGTGTATTTCGAGGTAGCAATTAATCTACATTGTAATAGATTATTTTATTGCCAGTAGTTTGACGATAAATGTTACTTTTTCATCAGTACTGGTACTGTACCTTTTGTTGCGTTAGTTTATCAGTACCTTCTCAATGAAATTCAGTAAAATATGTAAAAGTAAATAATTGTAGATAATGAACAAAATGTTACTGAGATGGGCATTAAAACATAAATGGCGTGGTTTGACGTAGGAATTACATCCTATGTAAGATGCGGCAGAAATTTTTAATATTGAAGGACTAGGGTGGTGAAAGGAGAGATTGAAAGAGTTTCTTTTATAGACAAAACTAAATCTTCTCAGTTGGAAGGAAGAGAGTTTCAGTAATACAGATGAGGTGATTTTGCAAATGATTATGGATCTGTAGACACTTGAGTCTAATCTGTTACTAACATTCTGTTCTTTCTTTAATCAATTAATAATTCTCTCCTATGTATTTCAGGAGAAATTAACTTTTGAAAAATGACAAGAAAATGAAAACAAAGAAGAGATAAAACTGAATATTAGAACCTGAGTGGTTATTTAAAACAATATATTCTCTACCTGTCTAAACACTCACGTGTATCGTAGTGATTAATTATCATAGATTAATTTACTCACTTATTGAAAACATCTCCTCAATAAAGCGTGCATACAGTAGTTATTATTCCATATAAGCCTCGACTGGAATATAGGATTTCACGCTTGAGCACTGAATTTTCAGTAGCTGCTGTAGAGTTGCTGTTACAGTGCGGGATCGCTAGCCTCACATGCAACCTTGCCTCTTTACTGGGCCTATTACAGGCTGCGCAAGTTTTAGGAACTCGTCTTCGGCAAGCATTCTGCGACAACACAGAACTACCAACCCATCCTTAATACATACAGTCTCAAACCAGGCTTCCCATGGTTCTCTAACCGATGTCAGATGATGATAAAATCCTGTAACAAATTGTTTATTAGTTGAAAAAAGGAAAAAAAATACCACTCCAGCATGTAAAGGTGTTCTTGGTAATATTAAAGTGGTCATAGGCAGTTGTTATAGAGATGTATGCAGTTACAGTGGCTATCTAATCAGTATATTGTGATGAGGTGCGCTTATGTGAATGAGTGATGTGTACGTTTTGATGTGTTTTCAGTTTGATGTTGATTGTGAATTGTTTACTTATGTAAGGATTGTTGTGTGTATTATTGCATTATTATCGCGCACATGTATTGTGTTTACATGTAGAGGGGTTGGTTGGATGTAGTGTGTTGATTTTGGTTGTTATGAGTATTGGGCATTTAACTCATGTAGTAAGTGACTGAGTGGTGTGTCGTTGAATCAGTTTCGAAGCCAGAAAAAGTAGTTCGATATTTTTTGAAATTAATCATGAGTTGTGTAGTGCAAGTGTGTGGGAGTTTGTTTGTTTAGTGCTAGTAATTGTTGCCCAATTATTATAATATGAGAAAGCGATGCTTATGGTTAGAGACTGAGCACAGGCTATTTCTGACATACAGAATGGGAAGAGTGAAGCTTTCACGCATACACCTCAGTCTGGCTGAACGATCGGACATGGAAGCAGCCGATTTCGCACTAATTGACGCTAAAAGCACCCAGTCAAATGGAAAGCCAAATATAATCCTCAGAGAGGTTTAATTTATGTAATATTTGACTGTATATATTGACTTTTGACAAATACAGAATAATTCTGCTGAAGTAGCAGTGTCTTACACAAGGAAACTTTCAGAAAAATCTAATTTTGCTTTACTAAATGCACTGGGTTATTTTGAAACTTTTAAAATTACAAATCGAGAGTATTTCACGTTTGAGGAATAAATTCTTAGACTATTTTGTTTTATAAAAACTGAATAATTCCGAAATTACACAAAGACAACATTTTTTATTATCACCTGATTAATTTCTGCTGACCATTTTTCTTTTGTTCTCTGTTATCATCCCGAATACTAATAAGCAAAAAAAAATTTGTAAAACGAAATGAAATGACTGGCAGAAGTTCATCGTTTACTTCTGTGCAACATTGTAGAAATGATATCTTGAAATACCTCTGAAATGTCTAGCATAAAAAAACACAAAACAAAAGCAAATTTGGTGACAGTATATTCTTTTAAGAAAAATAGTCTTTGCATATTTTATTTTTAATTAGAAATTATTTTATAAAATATTACGTGAGCTGTTCACCTCCACTAGGTGGAAACAGCTATTTGGCTGTATCAAAATAAAGTTAATCAAAGTTATACACGGCCATGAATATAGTTATCTAGATGATATCTGGAAGAAAATGAAGCCATTCAGTGCAATAAAAGCCTAATTAGTACCTTTTGTTCCTGAAAGCGCTAATAAATAGTACTTTTTTTTTACAAGGAGAAATGCTATTAAAAAGGGTTTCACCTGTTACGCTTTTCTTCAGGGGTTACTCCAGGCGATATATATATATATATAAAAGTAAAGAGCGGTAAAGTTTGCCTTGTTTAGTTTCAACTAATATCTTTTTAACTAATTAACAGGTGACCAAAGAAATGTGTTTCTTGAACAGCTTCAAAATACTTCATTGCCAGATCCTAATGAAGAGGAATTTGTGTGCCCGGAAAATAGAGGTAAATCACTTAGAACACTTATTCATAAAAGATGACGCAACTTGTCAGGGTGCCAAGCATCTTTTTTGAACAGCATTTATTCTGTTAAATTTATATTACTATTGTTATTATTATTTTTCCCTTGAGTTTCTAGTGGAGCATAGGGTGTCATCAGAACATGCCCCCTTCATCCTGTTCTCTGCATCCCTTCTTAGCTGGCTCCATGATTGCCCGTAATCTCTCATGTCCTCCTCACGCAATCCCCTCCACGTCATCCTCAGAAACCCAACTTGTCGTTTCTCAATCGAGTTCCACTCAAGATCATGAGAGATGTCATTTGACGAAATCCTCAGAGTATGTCCAATCCATCTCCATTTTCTTCAACATCATATTCATTGAGCAGTAGGTTGATGAATCGCTTGCTACTTGAGTTTCTTGTTTCTGATTCCTTCTGACTAACAATCTAATCTTCAGTATGTAGCCGGCGAAGGTAGATGTTGATAAAAATCTGAAATAGCCTGTTGAAAGTGCTTTTCGTGACTCGTGAATCAAGTTTTTGACCCATATATAAGATTTGACTAACCTGACATTGGTGTTGAGAATTCGAATTTTGTTGGTAATGCTGAGTACAGAAGATTTCCGAGTGCTGAATTTTTGTATTGATCTTCCGATTGTTTATTGGGCATCCTCATCGGTGCCTGTAGTTGAAACGATTCTCTTAGATAAGTGAATAGGCGATTAGATGTATTTTTCGGATTGGGCTGCTAGCCTGACGCCCAACCTTCAATCTTTTCCTGGGAATAGGGCTGGCTAGAAAACTAATGAACTAATAAACTGGGCGAGGTTCTTTTAAATTTAGGTAAGAATAACTGACCTGTGTAATAAACTAAAATAATTAATTACCAGTGCTTCGTTAGCATACTTTAAGTGTTTCTAAAATCTGAAAATCTGTTGAATAGTTGATTTAGTCACATGAATGATTGGATAAGCCGAAAAGACCAGGCGTATAAAGTAAGAAAATCCATTTGGTTTTAGTCGGCTGTAAATTTTCTCCATGGTGCGCAATTCGTTAACAGAATATTCAATTATTATCGTATCATGTAGTTGTGTACTGTTCCCCTTTCGTCCCATGAAATATCAATAAACAGTCAGCATTTACTATTTTCCTCTCTGAAAACTTTAACTCGACATCATTATTTCTAGCAAGTTTACTGAGGCATATATTTACTCTTCCATTTTAGATTCTGTGAAGGTGGAAAATGTGACGGTTGAAATGTTAAATGGAGGTGCAGCTCATGTGGTCAGCTGGAGCCCAATAGAAGAGAAATACTCCCAATGCGTATGGTACTATATGATATGTCGAGTTCATAGACGTACACGGCCAAAGATTTCAGTATTGTCTCTTGTAAAAATACGCGTGGATGGACATTTAAATAACATAATTACAGATTTCGCTGAAGATCAAAGTTATATTTATAAAGTAAAAGTGTTTTTCAAGAATTCTGTAAGAACGAAATTTTCTCAGCGTGTTGAAATTCATACCTCAAGGGCACCTATTTACAGTAAGTTTTTCAATATCTCCCTATTTTGTACTATCATTTTAAACGTGCCTCACTTTTCTTTCTGTTTACTGAAAGTAAACAACAGAAAATATTAGCCAGTCAATTGGGGAATACATTGTAGATGATTCTGTTTGCCAAACATTCTTCCTTAAACTTGAGACTCTGTAACTGATTCAGTGTGTGATGCTTCAGTTTATTTCTTACTTGCTGATTGATTCATCAATGTAAAACAAGAGATTTCTCTAATAATGTCTACAACAGAAGTAGATTTTATGAACTAATAGTTATTACGTTTGCATTGAAGCTAATGATATCTCCCAGCTACTCATCATTTTGTTTGTATGAATGAATGAATTTCATGCATACAGTAATTTTATTGTGACACAGAGTTCTGAACACATACTTTTGTGTCACTGAAAATGTTCGCCGGAAGTGATCAGGAATTTCAAAAGTTTAGTGGAAGGAGCAGTCTAGACGGTGGGGTGCAATCAGCAGGAAGCTTTACACCTATATTTTATGCTTGTTGGGACTCACCAGTCGGCAGTGCGTATCTGCAATCTTGGAGGCACTAATGTCTCTTTTGAGATTCAAACTCGTGTCCTATGGTGCTCCCGAGACGTTGCCACTGAGGTGGTTGGGGTTGCAACTGACCTTCTCTAGGACTATACTGGATATTTTGACTGTACACTAACTAATGTCATGCGCCTAATCCTCTGTTTGGTATAGACTGAATGTCAGTCAAGTTTGCAATATGGTCACCATGCCAGTTGGTTCGCCATCACGGTACGTTGTGAGTTGATGTTTTTAGATGGTTGGAGACAGTCTTGGAGGGGAAATGAGTTCCTTTAAGATTTCGGACACGCCTTGTTAAGTGGTGAATGTCAACAAGCACGAAACCAAGGTGCAAGGCTTCCTACCAATTGCCTCACACCATTTGATAACATTTCAGAGTGTACCATGATGGCGAACTGTCTAGCATGGTGGCCACACTGCAAACTTGACTGATAGAATTCAGTCTACACCGACCAAAGGACTAAATGGATGGCACTAGCTAGTCTCCAGTCGAAGGAACTGTTTAATTAAACTTGATGCTTTGTACTTCAACTAATTTTATCCTAGCCTATTTGTTTTTATCTATATCAGATGTTAGGTTCTCTATGCCATGTTTAAATCCACTGGAGATTTCATCATAATCTAGCAACAACCGAAGAATAATTAGAAACCAAGGAGCTGCCTAGCTCTTTATTTGATATCGGTTTTCATTATTGATTATTTATTTTGTTTTTATTTAGGAAACATTTTTCAAATTATTTTCTATTACTTTTAGATTGTAACTGCAGTTTGAATAATGAACACAATTATACTGGTATTAGGGCGCCAGGTGAGTCAAACAGAAATTTCAGCTGATGCTGACAAAAAGATAGACAAGAGTATTAAAATTCTTAGAATAATGTGAGCAAACGATAACAGCTATCTGTTAGGAGGTCTGCAAATCTCGATTTTGTACTGCTAGGTACTTTTGACATTTGACTCAGAAAAAGAAAGTTGCGCTACAGCTTAGTGTCTCTCCTGAGTAAAATGATCCATAGATTTTAATCAACATACTATTCACCAATATTTAATAATAACAGCTTTATTCTGGATAACGCATATTATACAGCACATAGTACAGAATTCTCAACGTGTTTTACTGTGAAATAATAGCCGATTATATATCATTTGAAGCAGTTTTGTTCGATCCGATATTTGTTTTGCACTTCTTCAAAAATGTGCCTACTAATAGGTTGAAATCTATTTATAAAATAGAGTAAATTCGATGGATTTTGTTGGATACCCAAATAGGTGATTTAAAACAGGTTGCCGTATTTTATATTTCTCAACTGGTTTCTGCTTAAATTGACCTTTTCAGTAAGCATTATTACGACTCTGTTGAATAATGAGAATATAATATACAGTAACTAGAATATGGAAAAACACTACAACTCATTCAGCACTATACAGCTGGTTTTTGCTAGTTTATTCTTCCCCATTTTAGTTGTTTAACATATTTTCCATTGATTAACACCTACAGTTTATATAAATATATTTGCTGAAAGTAGATTGAATTTACCAATACAGGTTCTAAAAGTTTGCTTGCATTCATCGCGTTTCTTAATTCTTTCACCGAAGTTTGAATCTTTGCTAACCTACATGTATTTACACATCAAATCACATACATTGAAAAACTGTAACGCTTCACTTCTGACCGTAGTTCATATAGAAAAAGACTTCAGTGAATGCATTTTATTCGATACAGCGTCGTTCCTGCCTGTTAAATTTAATATTTTTTGTATTCTTCACTGTTTGACATCCATGTTTAACTGTCTCCCTGCACATGCATAAAAACAAGTAGAAAATCATAGTAAGCCTGTGGGTTCCAGTAGTTTTGTACGTTTTCAACTGCCTGGTGAGATTCACCGATACTTTCTTCACTTGAAGTAAAACAATCTCATTAAAAGTATTTGACTACAGATAAAATAAAATATGAGAAAGGCTACAAATTAATGTTTTAAGGAAATATGAGTTAACTATTATTGTTCTCTTGGATTCCGAGTGGAACAAAGGGCTTCATCTACACATCTCCACTTTGTTCTATTTTCTGTTTTCCTCTTTAGCTGGGCCCACAACTGCCCATAATCTCTCATCACCTCCTCACACGATCTCCTCCATGTCACCCTAACACGACCGACTCATTGTTTCCCATTAGGTTCCACCAGAGCAATAACCTGGCGCTTGTTATCATTCGACAGCCTCTTCAACATGCGCCCTATCCATCTCCGTTTTCTTCTTCACATTTGTTGAACAACCGGCTCTTAGTTGGTTTGGTGTCAAAGTTTTTTGCTGCTAATTCTTTTTCTTCATCTGATCCTCAGTAGCGGGCGAAGGCAGTTGTTGATAAAAGTATGTGACCTGTTGGAAATTCTTTTCGTGACACGCGAGTCAAGTTTCCAACCCGTATGCAAGAACTGACTAACTTCACAATTGTGTTGAAAATTAGAATTTTATTCTTTATGCTGAGTGTAGAAGATTTCCAAACTGACTTCCGAGTGTTGGAGGTCTGTCTCACCTTTCCGATTATGTCTGGCTTTGACATTCTCATCCCCTCTGGCTGGCTGCAGTTAAAACAATGCTGCCTAGATAAGTGAAGCAAGGAACTAATATCTTTCAAATTTCTTCCACTGACAGTGATCGGTGCTTGTTGTTGCTGTTAGTTGGTTGTCTTCATCGTCTCACTCTTCCCTATGTTCACCTGAAGTTCTATCTTCGTTGCTTCTTCTGAGAGTTTGTTGAATTTCTTCTGCTAGTCTTCTAGTTTGTGACAGTAGACATAAATCCTCCGCGAAATCTAGATCTAGAGTCTTCCTGTCGTTCCAGTATATTCCTGTTTTCTTGCTACTCACAGTTCTGGCATACAATACAGTCCATCACAATTAGGTGACAATAGGAAGCCATGTCTCACTCCTGTATTCACCTCAAACCGCTTGCTGAGTTTTCCGTTGTGGATCCTCTGACACGTGGCATTGTTACATAGCTGTCAAATGAGGTTGATAAAGATTTTTGGCATATCACAGTGTTGAAGTAGTTTCCGAATTAATTCTCGGTCAATGCTTTTGAAGGTCTTTTCGAAGTCGATGAAGTTAAGGTAATGGTTTGACTGTTATTCCATATTTTGTCCGATGATGATGCGTAGAGTTGCAATTTGGTTAGCATATGATTTTCCTTTCCAAACTGGATTCATGAAAGATAAATCATGTGTTGATCGAATCATATTTCTACTCATCATCATCGGAGAAAATATAGAATGGCGGTCAAGCGTCTACCTCGACTTTATCCACTTAGAGCTAATTTTGAAAGCACATTATTTCTGTTAATTTTATTTTCGAGTCACAGCTCAATAAAAGTGCTATTTTATTACTGTTATCATTAGTACTGTTATACAAAACATTTCACTGTTCCCTAACATCCTCTATTCCATTTTACAGCTCTTGTTGTCGATGTAAGACACAGCGTCTTGTAATCGGAAAACATCCGATGAGGTGAAAGAACAAAGAAAGTACAAATATGTGATAAACGATTTTTGTTTAAACTATAAAATGAAATATTTCTCTTTTACCAATTTTAATCCTTGAAAATGTAATTACTTGAAAATAAAATTTCACAATAGTTGATTTAAATCAATTGTAGAATAATCTATCAATAGAAAAGATAAAGTCATGATTAAAACCACGATTGATAATGATGAATCACCTCGGCTTCCAGTAAATATACAGTCGTGGCCTCAGCACATGTTGGTTTTTAATGCCTTTTATGCAGTGTTTCTGAATGATGCACAGAGTAAGTGGTACGAAAAATTCGCAAAATAATAAGTTGCTTATAATTCAAAAATGTAGACATAAATTTCCAAGAAGACAGAATATCAACTGTTGGTGATTTGTATTTCAGTAAAAACCTTGTAATTCTACTGGCTCTTGGTAGGGATTCACTCAGCTTCTATGCAGGTTGTTGATAGTCAGCTAGCAGCCAAGACTGCTGATATCATCTCATTCAGACAGCATGGCAATCTGAAAGACAGAAGCAGAAGAGAAGTAAGTCAGTGGATCACTTGCGCTCAGATTTAACAACAAAAGTAAAAAGTGCACAAACAAGGAAATGGGATGCTAAGTAGGCCAAAATTGTAGGTGGAATGGATGGCTCAGGAGAAGCTTACGCTATCAGGAGAACAATAATGATATAGGGATGAAACCGTTGAAACTAGGTCGTGGTGTGATTAACAGAATGAACAATGCAAATGTTAAGTGACACAAGCTGATAGTAATCATGCTTGATAAAATATATTTTATGACCATAATTTTCAGGAACTTAATTTTCAGAGTCTACAAATATGAAATAATTAGGAATAAATAGCGATGAAATAAGTAGAGTGGACTGTGCAGTGAAAATACTTCAGTGTAAAAATAGTCAGTATTATTGGTAAATACGTGACGGGATATATACAACTGTTTAGTTTGGGAAGTTAGAAATGTTTGTGATAAACTGATGTTGCTTGCAATTAATTCCACTTGAAATAATCACCGAACAACACTGAGGTTAAAAACATTAACCTTTTATGCAGATATCTTTCAGTTCGCACGGCACAATCACTTTAATTCTCTGGAAATAAGGGTATCTAGTTGCAAATTCACAGAGTATAAAAAATATAGTTTTTCAGTTAAATGCTCACCAGACAGTCTGGTTTAGATTCCCAGTGGATGAACCTCTAAACCTCGTTTAGTTGACTATCCGTTAGTACGCTCAGAAAAGAGGGATGATTGAGCGTAGGCCTAGCGACCCTATTCTTTAAAAAGCATCACCACTGCTACTGAAGCTTCAAAGGTCAAAGCTTGGTACCCCATGTTCCAATCAGAACACAATAAATGAACAGAAAAATCACTTACTGACGAAGCATATCTTTCGACGTGAAATTTCACCACGATTCCATGTGTGAATTCCTTAGTATTCACATCCAAATGATTCAAAAAACGATGGAAAAAGACAGACTACTGTTTGAGGTGAGTTGCTGAACACAAGCGACATCATATAATAGGGATTGACAACCTTGAACTATGTAATTTACAAACGGCTGATTGCATTCTGTTTACTACTAGCTTGTCCAAAGTGGTAGTTACAATTTGAGTGAATTAAGTGCCAGTTGAGGTCCGCATAATACACTTGCATTTCAAGTTATACATGCTTGCATTCTTAGTTTAATTCACCGTGTCACTCTTGTGCTGGTTGTCCATTCGCATCAGTATTAACAGCACAGTGATGAAGGGAAGGAATGAAGTTTAAAAACATGATGAATCATTTATTAACAGACATATATGTAACAACAGAAGACAAGGGTCAGGCAACAGATCGTTTATTAGGGAAAATCAAAACATATTTCCGAAAATACCCATTGAGTCATGAAGAAAATAAAAGACAGATTCAGCGAAGAAAATTTTCTTTATCGACGAAATCATCTTCAGAGGCTGTACAATCGTATAAGCATAATGAATTCACAGAAAATCATGGTTGTTACGTGAGAATGAATAAGGACACTACCAAGCTCCGCGCGCAGTACGGACGAGACTTCTTTTCTCTTTTCACATTTTCCAACCAATTCTGCCTCGTAACTGATCAGTACATCAACATTGGGGTCCTTTCCTCCAATCTACGTTTCTCTCCGTAAGTGCCCTCCGGCCGTTGGCATCTCTTACATGTAGTGAGCATCTGTATACCCAAGAAAAGGAATATTTCATCCCTACCATACTGTATGACTATATTTGAGTATTTTGGGACTATTATAACTTTTCAAACAACTGCATTTTATGTGTATATTAACTTATATGGACTGAATACCCTTCTACATACATACATACATATTAGTATTTGTTTTGTCCTTTTTATTTCGCGTATAAACGAACTTAGCAGTTTAGTTCACTACAAACCTTTTCTATCTAATCTGAATTATTTAACAGAGAAAAGCTTTCAAACTCAGAGAGTATTCGTCTCAGCTTTATAGACTCACTAAACTGAGTTTCTCGTTTAGATAGGTCTGTAGACAACTTGGATTGAAAAAGTGTATTGCATCTCCGTGCTTAGACAACCTCTGATAGTTAAATGATTTTTATGCTTATGTGGTCAAGAATTATTGCTTAGATTACTTCATGAAAAGCTAGTAACAATAAGATTGATCAAAAAAGAGCTTTCCATTGGAAAAACAAGAGATACATTTTAACAGCTCAGATTCTCGTTTTTTAAACTGTCTTTCTATATCGGGATATGAATTATGCTTATTGCTCTAGAAGTGATTTAAGGTAGTAAAAAACTTATTCGCTTTATTTTATATCTGTTAGAATATTTGAATATCCTGAAATACATTCTAACACTTAACTGTTGAAACTGTACACTGTCTAGAAGTAGAGATTTAAAAGATCTTCATAAAAATAGCGTTATTTATTGTACTAGTCAAACAGAAGTACAGAGCTACACACTGTATGTTTATCAAGTGACTAGCTGTTGCAACGAACAGCCTAACTGTTGTTGAATGCCCTTGAAACTTTGCTGACGTCCATCCATAGCCTAAATTTTGACTTTAAATTACATCTTGATTGTATAGTAGCACTGTAAATACAGTTAACCTTTGAAACATGTAACAGTGTAGTTACATTAACATATTACATTACATAATTTAATCCAAGAAATATAACAATCTTTGTAATTCAAGAATTTTATATGTAATACTTTCTGTTCTAAATACTTTTACTTAATATAGAGTTGTATTCAACGATTATGTTTGGAATATGCATACGTTTTAATTTTTGCAGAAAACAACTAGGAAGTATATATATATATATATATATGTATACATATACATATATATATATATATATTCAAAGAATATGTTTTATTTTACAAACTCTAAAATAACTTGAAGTTTATTTTTTAAAGTAAAAATAACGGGAAATTTTACGATAATTAACTATTATAATATGCTTTAAACTTACTCAGATTAATTTCAAATGTAAGGAGAATTGGCAACACAAGATAGAAGTAACGAGTAAACATTTCTGACTTATTTATGTCTCTCTACAAATTCATACTGAAACTGATCTCACAGAGTATATATGTGTGTATATATATGTGACTGGTTTTTCAATGAAGTATCATTAGGTTGCTTTCTGTTCATTTTGTAGAGTTTACAGATCAGTGACATTGTCTGATGCCTCATTTCAGTTTTTTGATATCGACGTGTGTTAAGTTTACAACGTAAAGGATGAAAAGAAGAGAACAAAAGGCTGTTCATTGTCTAGTATTTTGATTAATTATCATACTTTTCATGGACTTGTTTTAGTCGCAAGTTATTTGTCTATACTTGAGTGATGTGTGTTTTTTAGGGTCTAATTGTGTAAGTTATTGAGAATCTGTTCAGTTGAACCAGACTATGTATTTTTTGAAACACACATTTTGGTGAGAAAAAGAGGTGAACAGACCTTTAGGAAGTTGTGTAGTTACTAGTATCTCATTGGCTGAGGGAAATTTCGGCAAATAGTCTGCAGTATTAAGTAACATTATGGTTAAATTTGAAAGAAGTTCCATGGCAAATTTAAATGTGAATTAGAATACGTATCCTATTCTGTTACAACTTTGTAGCAAATTCATATCACATAAAATACTAATACTGATTCTTATATGTATATTTTTAAATCAGAGGTATAAAAGTAACACTTTAGATCATATCTTCATGAAAATAATGAGGTTTTACTCTTTCCTATGCTTACAGTCGCTTGAAAAAAAGAAAGAATATTCAATGAAGAAGCCTTATTAATATCTTCTTTAATTCGTGTATATGATTTACTGAAATGGAGTTAACTGTTTTATTAATTTTTTATTTGATCACGGGAAAGAAAATAGCAGTTAATCCATTAAAATGAAGAGCATAATTCAACTGCGTAACAGACATCAGTTCCCGTATTGGAGGATCACTTCATTGTTAAAGCCTCAACTACTCACTTTTAATTATAACAAAACTAATTCATCTTCACTTATTGACCATGTATCAGCCGAAATCAACAGCACAAAACATATACTTTATTAATATGAGTTAAATGAATGAACTGCTGCCCATCCATTCCACATTAGGAAAAAATTACTTATGGTTAACGTATCTGAGTTTCATACTTTACTCAGTAAGCCACATAGAGATCATTACAAGTGTGACTTTGTAGAGTGTTTAATATTTTTGAGGACAGATTGTCTTTAAAATGTATCCATGATGCATGATCAATAACTGTGCAGACTGTTGAGACCTTTGATTTGTCAACAGGTGCATAGAAAGATGAGAAAGCAAACTTTTGTAAAGGAAAAAAAGCAAACATTTTGAAATGCACTGAATTCATTTCATAAGGCATGCTGTGTATATTCAAAAATACGCACCAAGTTGAAAATCCCTACAAAGTCTGTTTGTTCACTATTTTTTTTATTCCTTTGTGTTTTGAGTGGAACATAGGGCTTCAAGCTTTGAAGTGTTTTTAGCACTAGCGTTGTTTTTAGAGGATTGGGTCTCGGGCCTCACGCACAATCTTCCCTTTTTCTGGGTTTACAACTGCCCAGGCGATGTTTAGGAGTACATCATCTGGAAAACGAATCTGGAACTCTCACGTGACTGCTGCCCATTCTACCAGTGAGTCACCACTTCCTTAGAATATCACTGAGAAATTTATATATGTTGACATAACTCAGAAGTAGAATCAACAAAAAATAAGTTCTTCAAAGTTATACATCATTATAGGAGAAAATGAAGACGGCACCATTTGCAACCTCACTGATAATTAGTACTGGGAAAAATTACAAATTTTTGAGACAGTGAGAAATCATTCTGTAAACTAATTCAAGAAATTAAAATATTCCAAATAATAATGAGACGGGGCTGACAGATTGCTACTGCTTTAACATAAAGTAGCAATTCACTATTACTTCGTCTGCTTATCATACAAAAGAAAATATTCCGTCTTACCTTCTACATCAAGAAGTTAAAACATTCTGGTATAACCCAACCCTTACTCCTACAATTCGTTAATTCTTGCATTCTGCCTATTATTCTCTATTGTTCCCCCTTAGATTTTCCCGGGATACTGAAGAAGGCCTATAACATATTACGCAGGATGTTAAATGTTGTCAGCAGAGTAAGCAACGTGCCACTTAACCAGCTTGTTAATATTCTGGTCGACAGGCACATGGATTCGTGAAAAATAGGCCAAATCCATTTTATCTAACTCACACCACCCTCTTCACTCACAACTCTCCCCTTGCATCTCATCAGGTAAAACCAGAAGCCTATATAGAAAATTATATGCTCGCACCAGCAAG